CGTTGAAACTAGGTAACACTGTTGTATTAAAATTTGAATCGAAATTGTATTTTTGTTTCTTTTAGATGTTCCTTAAATTCCGAAAATTTGGAAGTTTGTCAATCAATAAGAATATCATGTTCAACCATATCAAAAGGTTGAGAAAAAATANGAGAAGACTATTATTAAATCCATTTATGTTTAGTGGTCTAATTGACCAAATTAGTTATTACTATTAATTATTCTTTTTGTATATGGTCTTGGTTGAGTTGAAGTTCCCGTTCGTGACAGTGATTTTTTAACTACAACTGGAATTTGATCAAGGTTGTTTTTCGCGCGAGAGGTCAATTATTATATTTAAATTTAAGCCTTGGCTGGAGGAAAGAGTCCAAGCATGCTATATATGTAAACTAAAAACGGTTTCATTTTTTGGCAGTTTGTCCAACTTTGGATAACGTTACGTTAATTGTTCCACAGATGTCGTTTGACAGTATATAGAACTGTTAAATGGGAAAGATTGGTTTAGTTTGTATAGATATATTGTAGATGCGCTGAATTGCAGAGATAATTTTATGTTAAGTTTATAATTTGTATGTTAATTTAAGTTTTATTTGAATGTAAATATGTAAGGGTCAACTGCCAGACTACTAGATCATGCCATTAAAAGTATTATTTTGTAAAAAAAATGTAATATTTTGTTTTCTTTTCTAAATATACTTTTATAAATAAATCACTGTGGCAGTCAAAATTCATCTTTTAACTTATCTCTGGAAATTAATGACTAACTCTAAACTGTAAACTGTAACTGGCTCGTGACCAATTGACCATTGTCGACTCAACTCCACTCAACTACTGACTCACCAGGGACTACATTTTTGGTAGTAGCCACGTTTTGCAAACCTCCCCAAGGGCTCTACGTAAGGCACATCCCTGTCGTCCCTACTACCTCCTTGCTTCACCATTTTCTTAATGGTGTGTTCCAGTTTTTTTTTGGATCTCTTGTATCCAAAGAAAACAGGAAATGTGTTGCTTCGACTTTTTCACATCCTCATTCTAATTGTTCTACACAGTTAATACAATACTCTACAACACACTTAATAGGTTAAACAACTTCGTAATTAGCTATACTAAAAATTATCTTCTCACGATGTTTTTATATAAACAAACGGTTTATTATTGAACGGATTTACCAAACGTTTGATATAAAACGAAGTTATGATTTCAGTAAAATTAATACAATTTAATCTCATTTTTCTGATTAACAAATCTTGATTTTTTTTCTGGGTGCCGGTGTTTTTGAAAAAAGTCCATTTGTAAGTATGTCGGGTTCGAATGCAGGGCCGCTGGATTCGAACTCGAGACCTTTACCTTGCAGTGATGAGCGCCGTCTCAGCGCCTAAACCGTTGCGGCCACCGACGCCCTTAATTCATTTCAGTTTATGTTTTAAAGCAGTGCCACGCGCTTCAAAATTTTTGTACTTTGCTGATCATGATTTCCCATTTGACCTCGCCAGATCTCGTTAGAACCTGTTGCTGTGTACGACCTGGCTTGGGAGTAGGCAAAGCTCGGATAGTTTTTAATAATTAAGAACCTCCACACTCTCCTGAGAGAAAGGACAAAAGAAACTTTTTTTTTACTTTATAGTTACTCGCATTTTTTTTCGTTTGATTGGTCGTAGGGCAGAATGGCAAGATGCGGTGTTGAAGTCAGTGGGAGGAGAAGCAATCCGTTTCCTTCACCCTTAACGAATCAACCGGAAGTTCGTGCAAGGCCTGCAAATTCATTCTTTGGATCCTATGCCTCCGATTCCATTTGCCGCCAACAACCCTCTTCTTTTTTAGGGTTATCTCATTTCAAAAATTCTGTATATTAATCCATTTAATTATATTATACTGAATGATCCACCATTTTAAAGTGGTGATTAAACGTGATTTAGTATATCAACATTAATAATTCTAAATGGACTATTCCCAATTACAATTTAGTTAATGGTTAAAACAATTCAAAATAGAGAGCCCTTAGATAATAAAAAACATTTCTTCCGTCTTAAAATTTTATTTTATTCATTATTGACACTTGTCAGATGAGACTTCTGGCCATATAAACCCAACAATCATGACAGCGTATTTAAAGAAATCTTCCTCTAAATCCTTCATGTTTTATGTGTCTTACTGCTGAACAATTATGGTTTCGTTTACCATTCCAAACCAGGAAAAATTCATTGTCGTGTTTACGTAAATAATGAACGGTCGGTCGGCCCTAGTATTTTGTTTTCCTCTGTCTGATAATCAGAGTAAAAGACTTTTTCTTTCACATGATTATAAACTAGAATGAAAATATTCTTTGCCGGTATTTTCAGGTGAATAATGATTTTAAGAAATATAATGCCAGAGCATCAACAATGGATAAATTTCGCTGATTGGTTGAAACGCCGAACACGTCGGGAATTGACAGAACCACGGGCAGTCTCTCTTAGATTTTTCCTGAGGTCGGAAGTTTTTTTTGGTCGAAAGAAATTTGCGGACTTGAGCCATCAACTTGGATTCATCGCTTTCTCAATGACCAGTTTTGTCGACTTCGCATCACCCTTTTTTGTTCAACGCCAGTGAGCCTTTTTGTTGTTTTTATTAATGAATGAGTTTGGTTGTTTATTTCTTGTTTAAAAAAATGTGCTGAAGCACTATAGAGCTTGCAATTCTTTTGTTATTGTTTTTTTAAATTAAAGTCCTTTTTTTATAACTGTAATCAGTCTTTATTTTTAATTACTTTGCCACTATTCTTCGAAGGAAAGATCCTCAAAAATTAAGTCTTAATTTTGTTTTGTCTGTAACACGACATGGTATGGTATGGTATGGTAGAAAAGGATACTAGGAAGCGGGGTTTGCACTCCCCGGGCACTGCAGCCTTCTGGCTTATTGTACTTCCCAGTTCCCTAGTTTAGTCAATAGACTCAATCCTTCTTCTCAGAAGCATCAAGTCATTGACTGTTATTGCTGCAATTTGGTTCCCTGTGTCTTTTTCGTACGCTAGGTTAAACCTCCATTGAGCTGTTGCTTCGCATTCGAAGATGATATGAGTGGCTGTTTCCTCCTCCTCATTACATAATCTGCAAATGGGGTCATCGCTGTATATACCCATGTTGTGTAGATGTTTTCTCAGATACCAGTGACCGGTTAGTAGTCCCACCACTCCTCTGAGTTTTGCCCTCTCCAATTGCAGCAGTGTTTTTGCCAANACTTATTAAATTCACTAGTTTTCGTGGTCCGCTTGACCAATTAATATCTTTCAATTAATTAAGGTTTTTAGTTGAGATAAAAAAGTCAGTGTCACGAGCGGGATTCGAACACGACCTTCGGCTAGATACGCCGCTACTCTACCACTTGAGCTATCGTGACCTCGATCCACTCGGCGTATCTAGCTGAAGATCGTGGGTTCGAATCCCGCTCGTGCCATTGACTTTTTTTATCTAAACTAAACCCTTAATTAGTAGTAAGTAACTTTGATATTATGTCTGAGAAACTTTGGTTGGAAGGCTTGCATTGCTTGGCTGAACCCTAAGTTTCACTTCGTAAATCCAGAGTGGTCAAGCGGACCACGAAATTAGTGAATTTAATGAATTAAAATGAAGTATAGTTCACAAAAGCTCTCCGTGGCCATTTCATTTGTCGCCGAGAATCCAATCCGATTACACGACATTTGAAAAATGGCGAAAAGGAGGAAAAATTCAAAAAGTGCGGTTGAGATGGGAATTTAGTGCCTGAACGGATGGAAGTCAGCTCAAGTGGTAGAGCAGCCGAAGATAGTGGGTTCGAATCCCGCTCGTGCCATTGGCATTTTTATCTCAACTAAAAACCTTAATTAATTTTAATATATTAATTGGTCAAGCGGACCACGAAATTAGTGAAGTTACTTACTACGTCACTATTCACAACGATTAATCCGTTTCCGCTTCCAAAATGTCCACACCAAATTCTCAATCCACCCTAAATATACTGTCCAAATCTTCTCTATTTATTCCCATTACGAGAACACGTGACTTCGAGACTTTGCCCCGTAAGTGCGGTGTCAGTTTTTCTAACGAAAAGTTGCTGAAAATAATTTTAGATTATGTGTTCAAGTCGTGAGGAGCGGTCAGGAAAGACTTCAACAAATTAGAGGTCACTAAAAAACACACGTTTTTAGATTATATTGCACACAGTATGGTCACTTTACAAATGTTGATGATGTGTTTTGGTCTGCGAGTCGGAGAACTCTTGTTGAACTAGTACAGGGTCACTTATGGGATCTGTCTCAAAAACTGACAAGTGGACAGAGACGCATTAAGAGATCCTGTGCCAGTTCCACCTGATTATCTGAAAGCACAAAATCATATGGGGAGAGTGTAAATGTTGTACTTCTATTTGCACGCCTCCATCAATGCAATTTTTCAGATAATTTGCCATCATGGAGAAAACATAGTTAACATTCAACTTTGCTTTACGCCCATTGTAGTTTCAAACTTTTCTTTTAGCCTGCACAAATCAAAAAATAAGTAGCTTATTAACTACTTAAGGTATTTGTACATCTTTGTAAGTACAAGAAAATAATAATATGCTGTATGTCAGGCATCACTAACTATAAAGATAATCCATTACAGTTCGTGGTCCGTTGACCCATTAACATTTTTCCATTAATTAATATTTATGAAAGGTATTGGTCGAGATAAAAAGGTCAGTGTCACGAGCGGGATTCGAACCCACGGAAAATTCGAGAGGTGATGTTGAGATGGGAAGTTAGTGTCCGAGCGGATCGAAGTCACGATAGCTCAAGTGGAAGAGCAGCGGCGTATTTAGCCGAAAGTCGTGGGTTCGAATCCCGCTCATGACACTGGCTTTTTTATTTCGACCAATACCTTTCATAAATATAAAGATAATGTTTACGCACTATATATTTTTAGCATTGAAGTGGTAAAACTACTGATACGAGACATCAGTTTGATTTTATCTATCTATTTGGACTAACATTGCTTTTGTTTTTGCAGTGCGATAAATCCGATTTTGTACAACGCAATGTCAAGCAAATTCAGAAGAGCGTTCCACAGACTGCTATGTTGCCGCAAAGTGGGAGTTGCAAGCAGGAGGAAAGCTGACACAATTTCGGAGGACGTTGGCAGATCGATCTCGACGACGAAGAGAACAACTACTTTCTACTCGGAAGATCATCGAGACACAAATTTTTAAATGAAAAAAATCCCTAGGCGAAAAGATCAAGCGTTGAAAATTAATCAAAGGAAACGTCATGACCAGTGTGATATTGTATTATATTATGTAAAAAAGAACTTATCTTGATTTATATTTGATTTTGATTTTAGAAAAATTAAATTATTGTTAAAATGTAAACAATTTAATTTTAAAAGAAATTTTTTGTAATAAGACATTAAAATAATTTGAAAAGATCTTTCTTATTGTACAGAAAAATAATTATGAAATCGAATCCATGAAATTCCATTTGTCTTAAGGTGTTATATTGATAAGTAAATTATTGTATTAAACTTAACTCGAAACGTAGTCAAATAGATTGATTTCATTCGAATAAATTATTTTTTGACTTTCAACTTTTCTTCAGATCGTGTGAGACAGCGTCTTAAACAAATATATCAAAAATGTTATTTAATCTTTTTCTCATATCGTCGTCGGAATTCCTACATACCAAGCACATATATTGTTCTAGTTAATAAATTGTTTAATCCATAAATTAATGATTCGGCGATATATGGCGTGGAATAAATTCAACCATGATGAAGAGACCTGTATTACAAATGATTGCGGGGATTATTGAATTCCTTTGACGATCCAAAAATGAATTACAAATATACCTAACTGTTAAAACATTCTTGCGAACTAAAACTCTAAAACGTAGAGTTTTCAGACAGCAAAGGGGCTATTTATTCCCCCAACCCCCAACCTTACTAAGCAAATAATTCAAGATTGGGAGAAAACCAGTTTCTCAAAGACAACAATTTTCTAATTTCAGGTTGAGAAAACTTTGTCGGATCGAACGTAAAAACCGGGACTATCCAAAAACAATATTCTGGTTGAAGATACTAAGCTCTTTACAATATCTTGAAAAATTAGTATAATTTACTCATTACTAAAAGTATCCTGGAGCTCTCTATCTTAAAAACTCTGTACTCGGATCCCTTTATAATATGAACAAAACAACTTTTCACCTGTTATTTGTTTTATTTCGCGAGATGATCCAAAATAAACAGTTCTTTTAATAATATTTTGAGCCATTTGTACACATTTTCTTAAGGGGGTAGCGACCGTTTTCGAACCAAAAACGTTTTTACAAAAGTTTGTTTACATTATGCTAGTGTAAAACCTTTTTATACACAGAATAACACTAATTCCGTGAAATTCCGAGCTTTATAAAATAATCAAATAATTTTTTGAATGTTGCGAAATAAGTGTACTGGAGTATTTGCTAAAGAACGTCTATTACGTACATTCTGGGTTCAAAACTCACCCTCATAGCTAAAACGTCGTATCACCTCCATACTTTAAAAGGAATGAGAATCTAACTTTTACAAACAACACTCAGAAGGAGAAAAATATTTTTTTTATATTACAATGGTGTAACGGTTACAACTTTCGCTTGTTACCAAAAAATTAACGATTTCGTATTTCTAAAAGACTTAACTGACAAATTGTAGTGTGATAAAAATAAAATAAAAACAGATAGGTTTAATAGTCAAAATAGATTATTCGGAAATCGTGAGATGCTGTCCGATGTGACGTAGGTTTCAGGAAAGCATTTTCTTTATCGTGCCAACGTTTCGACCTTTATTGAGATCATCTTCAGGGCCTGGGATTTACAAACATTGTTTAAATTTAACAAATACATATACGATGTTGAAAAAAGTGAATTTATACAAGGCCCTGAAGATGATCTTAATAACGATCGAAACGTTGGCACGACAAAGAAAATGTTTTCCTGAAACCTACGTTACACCAGACCGCATGATTTCCGAATAATCATAGACTAACGGCCATTGAGCACCACACATTTAGACAAAATAGATTTTTTAAAAACTCTTGGGTCTTTCTTTGATCAACTAAATGCTTTTAAAAAGTGCTAGGATATGGCCCAATTTTAAAGTTTGATGCTTAACCAGAAAGTAACGAATGGTTTGAAAACGATAAGCTTATCTAAATTAAAATCTGATTAGTAGGAGCGGAGTGTTAAACAAAACCTTTCAGTTAGTATCGTTCTTAATGAGAACTTTCAATTTGAACTATGGTTCAAATGTGTATAGTTCAGTATTTTGTATATGTTTAGTATTGGCTCTAAATAAACAAGATTTTTTTAATTTACCAGAATACCAAATAGAAATTTGTGCATCGTGAAGTTCAGTCAATTGGACCGATTAAAATAGGAAATAAGAACAAAGGAGCAGAATATAAATACAGAAATTGTTTATTGAAAATATTTTCAAGAGACAATATTTTGAGGTTTTATCTCACCCCAGGGGATTCGAAACAAAGTAGAACGTTGCATTTTATAAAACACCGGTTCAACAAATCGTTGAAAGCAAGATGTAAACAACATGCTATTTTTAGAGAGTGAAGAGAAAAAAATTAACAATAGGAACAACTTTAACGTGACGAGGTAGTGGGAAGCATAAACCGACAGATCGGAACTCAACTAAATTCTTCCTTTTATCTCTGCAAAAAATTGAGCTCCACACTCCTAAAAATTTAAAGGTAATTACATTGAACAGTTGAATCGTGAGTATATTGTAGGAATAAGGAATGATAAATGTATATTATAGCATCAAATTATACAAAAAAAAAAAAACTAGCAACAGTGCTGGTTCATAATGAAGTCGATTTTCTAACTATTGTTTTTGCCAACCTACAACAATCTAACCAAAGATCAACAGGCTTTCTGTAAATTTCCCAAATCTGACTTTTTTTCATAATTTAATAAAATTGAGGCATATAGCCCTAAAAATAGCATTTCGCCAAAGTTACCACCAATTTTAATTATTAATTTATAATTATGTTAGTTGAATGTTTTGGTATATTATGATAGAACGTAGCTTTTTAAAAAGTAATAAACTTTAGTGGAAATACTAAAAAAAATTCAAATTTTAAATATTATTCTTCTAGAACAGGAAAGTTCATTAAAAATCGAATCTAAATTCCCAAATTTGATTATTTTAATTAACAATAAAAATGTATCAATTAATTTTAAAGTTCCAGCAAACTTTAAAAATTTCGTGTCAGCAAATGGCGTCATGTCACTACAAAATGGTTCCCATTCAAAGGCGAGGCATTTTAAAATTTTGGTTCATATTACTACGTCATAAATGTTTCTATATGAAAAGTGCAACAAGTCTTGATCAATTTACTACTCTGGTGATTTTCCTTTCATTTCTTTATTTTATAAAATGTATTTAACAATTATATGAATCGGTTAGTAATACATAAATTTGACGTAAATTAAATTTATTACTAATAATAAAAGTGGCTTAAAAATAATTAGAAAATAAATAAGAATCAAAATTCGTGTATTGTGTCAAGCTTGTATAATTACCTACTTAATTTAGGATTTGTCCTTCTTGAAAGTGGGATAATAGGTCATCTCAAAAAAAACCCAACCAGATTTTATCCACACATTTCGGATTTATTTGAATCCTTCCTCAGGTGAGTTAACGCAATGGTTAAAACAGGGTCGTCTATCATTAATATTTTATAACAGTTTATTTGCAAAAAGAGTGAGCGTGGTACATATTTAAGTCTTTCAGACTCCGAACAAACGTTTTAATAATTAATTAAAATACTAAAACGTTTGTTCGGAGTCTGAAAGACTTAAATATGTACCACACTGGCTCTTTTTTCAAATAAACTGTTATAAAATATTAATGATAGGCTATTTCCCACCTTCAAGAAGGAAAAATTTTAAACTGTTTGGTCGAAATATAAGAAAATATCGTTACCTACTTAATAATACTTATTCTTTTATTTTATTACAGTTATTTACATAATATAAATAATGCTACCATCTTATATTGTGGTCCGATTCAATCAAACCTCTGCGATCTGATTCAACAATTTTGAAATAAGATTTAAGCGCTCAAATCTTTTTATGAACAAATGGTAAGGCGCATATAGATAGTGCCAGTTTCTTTTGGGTTTTAGCGTAGTGATAGAGCAATGTAGGAAAGAAGTTTAAGTTAGTATGTTAGCAAAAAACTAATTTGATATTCGTTTTCTGCAGCCTAAAATACAGTTCCATAGAATTTATTGGAAAACTAGAAAAAAATTCAAAATGTTCGCCTCTGATTAAATTGAGTTCGCTGATCTTTAAAGAAGTTTAGAATCTTACAAAGTAAATTGTAATGGCTCAAGCCTGGCTTCTGTAAATAAATCAGAGCCGATTAAATAAAATTTTTATGGAGGTTTTGTTAGTTTTTTTAACTTAAACTTAATTAACAGAAATGCAGCATTCAGATTGTTGTAATATTCAACGTTAGATAAAATCTCGAGGAGTTATGAATTGTTAAGTAAATTTTCCCCAACAAATTCAACCCAAAAATGTCTCATTTTTATTTATTTATTTATTTAAACCGGCACTGGGCCGGTTACTGCGTCTGCCTACACTCGCGGATTTTGATGTTAAAAACGTTTCCGCTTGGCGCTGAACCATCTTCATTGGGTCGCCCATCAAAGTCAGAAAACTACGTTTTAAAAATACATAAATTAGTTGCAACATTGTTTTTTTCTTGGGATCGCAACAAAACGTTTTATTTGGAGCCATGTTTTAAAAATTTTAAGAGAAGAATAATACACTGCCAGCTATCTTTAAGCGTAGCAGAATGAAAGGGCATAATTCTACCTTTTGTACGAATGGGATTAATCACTACACAAGTAAATAAAGGGAGTAAACGAAACATTGTTGTTAACTGTTAATTTTGACTACGATGGCTCCTAATTAACTGCAACTAATGTAGAAAGATAATGGATTTTATTTAAAGTAAACAAAATTAAGCTGTGCCTTAAATTTGTCCATCAGTGTATTTTTTAAAAACGTCTCTTGGTTTCCTCATGCTATCACTCTTTTCTCTTTCTGTCTCTCTCTCTCTCTCTCTCTCTCTCTCACTCTCTCTCTCTTTGCTCTCTCTCTCCCCCTCCCCTCCATCACTCACACTCTCTCGCTCGCTCCCTCTCTCTCTCTCTCTCTCTCTCTCTTTCTCTCTCCCTCTCTCTCTCTCTTTCTCTTTC